CTATGCCTGGAGCGACCCTGGCAACACATAGGGGTGACCACCCCCTGTCGCGTCGCCCCTCTGGTGTCGATTAAATGCAACGCCTGCTATGCTGGGAGACCCTGGCACGCATAGGGGACCACCCCCTGCGCACCCCCTCTGGTGTCGAGAAAATGCCACGCCTGCAATGCCTGGACGACCCTGGCACGCATAGGGAGACCACCCCCTGCGCACCCCCTCTGGTGTCGAGAACATGCCACGCCTGCTATGCCTGGACGACCCTGGCACGCATAGGGAGACCACCCCCTGCGCACTCCCTGTGGTGTCGACAAACTGCCACGCCTGCTTTGCCTGGACGGCCCTGGCACGCATAGTGAGACCACCCCCTGCGCACCCCCCCTGGTGTCGAGAAAATGCCACGCCTGCTATGCCTGGACGACCCTGGCACGCATAGGGCGACCACCCCCTGCGCACCCCCTCTGGTGTCGAGAAAGTGCTACGCCTGCTATGCCTGGACGACCCTGGCACGCATAGGGAGACCACCTCCTGCGCACCCCCTCTGGTGTCGAGAACATGCCACGCCTGCTATGCCTGGACGGCCCTGGCACGCATAGTGAGACCACCCCCTGCGCACCCCCTCTGGTGTCGAGAAAATGCAGCGCCTGCTATGTCTGGACGACCCTGGCACGCATAGGGAGACCACCCCCTGCGCACCCCCTCTGGTGTCGAGAAAATGCAACGCCTGCTATGCCTGGACGACCCTGGCACGCATAGGGAGACCACCCCCTGCGCACCCCCTATGGTGTCGAGAAAATGCCACGCCTGCTATGCCTGGACGACCCTGGCACGCATAGGGTGACCACCCCCTGCGCACCCCCTCTGGTGCGGCGCGGCAGGGAAGAAAACCAGAACCCCACGAAGTGAGGTGAGTGTCGCGGGTGCGGCGCGGCAGGGAAGAAAACCATAACCCCACGAAGCATGTGGGGAAATAGCGCGTAGTGCTTAAATTAAGTATGTGGGGTGCTGCGCTGTGCTGTGCTGTGCTGTGCTGTGCTGAGCTGAGCTGAGCTGTGCTAAGCTGTGCCGTGCTGAGCTGAGCTGAGCTGAGCTGTGCTGATCAGTGCTGTGAGGAGGAGGGGAGGTGTGAGGTGAGACGCGGGTGCGACGCGGCAGGGAAGAACACCATAACCCACGAAGCATGTGGGGAAATAGTCAAAGCATATCCCAGCAAAGCAACCTAACAGCGATGTGTAGGAGCATATCTGGAAGCGTTCCCCTTAATATTCAGATGAGAATCCAGTTGTAGAATTCTGCTGTTCTCGCAGTCGTAGTCGCATTCGCGATGGCAGTCGCAGTGGCAACGGCAGTCGCAGTCACAGCCTCAGCCTCAGCCTGCCTCAGCCTCAGCCTGCCTCAGCCTCAGCCTGCCTCAGCCTCGGCCTCAGCCTGCTTCAGCCTCAGAATCAGTCTGCCTTCAGCCTCGGCCTCAGCCTCAGCCTGCCTCAGCCTCACCCTGCATCAGCCGCAGTCTCAGCCTCAGCCTGCCTCAGCATCAGCCTGCCTCAGCCACAGCCTCAGCCTGCCTCTGCCTCAGCCTCAGCCTGCTTAAGCCTCAGCCTCAGTCTGCCGTCGGCCTCAGCCACAGCCTCAGCCTGCCTCTGCCTCAGCCTCAGCCTGCTTCAGCCTTAAGCCTCAGTCTGCCGTCGGCCTCGGCCTCAGCCTCAGCTTGCCTCAGCCTCAGCCTGCATCAGCCTCAGCCTCAGCCTCAGCCTGCCTCAGCATCAGCCTCAGCATCAGCCTCAGCCTGCATCAGCCTCAGCCTGCATCAGCCTCAGCCTCAGCCTTCAGCCTCAGCCTGCCTCAGCCTCAGCCTGCCTCAGCCTCAGCCTCAGCCTGCCTCAGCCTCAGCCTCAGCCTGCTTCAGCCTCAGCCTCAGTCTGCCTTCAGCCTCGGCCTCAGCCTCAGCCTGCCTCAGCCTCAGCCTGCATCAGCCTCAGCCTCAGCCTCAGCCTGCCTCAGCATCAGCCTGCCTCAGCCTCAGCCTCAGCCTGCCTCAGCCTCAGCCTCAGCCTGCTTCAGCCTCAGCCTCAGTCTGCCTTCAGCCTCGGCCTCAGCCTCAGCCTGCCTCAGCCTCAGCCTGCATCAGCCTCAGCCTCAGCCTCAGCCTGCCTCAGCATCAGCCTGCCTCAGCCTCAGCCTCAGCCTGCCTCAGCCTCAGCCTCAGCCTGCTTCAGCCTCAGCCTCAGTCTGCCTTCAGCCTCAGCCTGCCTCAGCCTCAGCCCTCAGCCTCAGCCTCAGCCTCATCAGCCTCAGCCTCAGCATCAGCCTCAGCCTCAGCCTCAGCCTCAGCCTCAGCCTCAGCCTCAGCCTCAGCCTCAGCCTCAGCCTCAGCCTCAGCCTCAGCTTCAGCCTCAGCCCTCAGTCTGCCTTCAGCCTCGGCCTCAGCCTCAGCCTGCCTCAGCCTCAGCCTCAGCCTCAGCCTCAGCCTCAGCATCAGCCTGCCTCAGCCTCAGCCTCAGCCTGCCTCAGCCTCAGCCTCAGCCTCCTCAGCCTTCAGCCTCAGCCTCAGTCTGCCTTCAGCCTCGGCCTCAGCCTCAGCCTGCCTCAGCCTCAGCCTGCAGCCTCAGCCTCAGCCTCAGCCTCAGCCTGCCTCAGCCTCAGCCTCAGCCTGCCTCAGCCTCAGCCTCAGCCTGCTTCAGCCTCAGCCTCAGTCTGCCTTCAGCCTCGGCCTCAGCCTCAGCCTGCCTCAGCCTCAGCCTGCCTCAGCCTCAGCATCAGCCTGCCTTAGCATTCAAAATGTGGCCCTGGAATGGAATTCTGGGAACTCGAAGAACACGAAGTGGCCTACAGTTGGCTCTGGGCATTCAAAATCATGCCCAGGAGTGGAATTCTGGGCACTCGAAGACCACGAAGTGGCCTACAGCTGGCTCCGGGCATTCAAAATCATGCCCAGGAATGGAGTTCTGGGAACTCGAAGACCACGACGTTGCCTACAGTTGGCTCTGGGCATTCAAAATCATGCCCAGGAATGGAGTTCTGGGCACTCGAAGAACACGAAGTGGCCTACAGTTGGCTCCGGGCATTCAAAATCATGCCCAAGCATGGAGCTCTGGGAACTCGAAGACCACGAAGTGCGTTACTGTTGGCAAAAAAATGTCCCCGGCACCCGTCCGGATCCCGCCCAGACCCCCCTGGGGAGTCATGATGCTCTGTTTTGAGCCCACTAGAAACCTATCAGTCTTCGCTGTTAGGTAAAACAAGTCCCCAGATACTGTTTTGACTGTTTTTGAATATTCCTCCTGTAGAGGGACAGGCCCAACTTAACCCTTTTGAGACCTCGCGGCTGCCCGGGGGGCTGCGAACTGCGCAGCCTGTCGCTCCACTTCCGTGGGCCCCCTGGTCCTGGTCCAGTGGAGTGGGCAGTCACGCAGACCCCTTTGAGACCCTCGCGGCTCCATGGGGAGCAGCGAGCTGCGCAGCTGTCACCACTCTCGTGGGCTCCTGGGGGATGGGAACGCTTGAGGGCTACGAAGCCCGACGAATGGGCTATCAAGCCAAATGAAGCCCGGAAAAGCCCAGAACTTAGCTGGAACAATCGGGGTTAAGCCCGTCTCACTCTCTCTCTCTCTCTCTCTCGGTCTGTCACTCTCTCTCTCTCTCTCTTCCTCTCTCGGTCTGCCGTTCTCCCTCTCTCTCTCTCTCTTTATGTCTCTCGTCCCCCACCCCACCCCACGGTCCCTGCTCACGAATGCGCATATCCTTCCCGTGGCACGAGAGGACATCGTCCTGAGGGAATGGAGACCTGAACCTCGAGGCTTTCTCTGAAAGTAATTCTTCATCCTGAGTCGTTCCTGTGCGGTCCCAGAGACCGCGGAGGGCCCTAGGGAGGAAGCCAAAAACGTCCAAAACTTCACGGCCCCTTTCGCTCGGGACCCTCTCGTCGCTCCGCCTCGGGTCCCATCGCTGACGATGCTCGCTCGATGCTGTACCATATGAATTGTGGTCCGAAGAGCCCCTGGGAGGCGAAACGCGTAGCTTCTTCCTCTTTTGTCGCTCGAGACTCGATGAAGAAAAATGATTCGCTCAAATCTCTCATCTGCACTTTCCCTGTTCACTAACGCAGGTCCTCTCCGAGCCTTTGCCCGAGTCTGCAGCCCAAAACCTCGCGCTCGATAATCCCTGAAATCTGACGTGGCGAAAAAACATGAAACATGGTGAGAAATCACGACAATGAATCAAGGGCCCTTGGCCCCTTGGCCCGACCTTTCTGCGGCACTTCCCGAGCCAGGCGAAACCGCTGGCGCCCAGAGCGAATCTCGAGGATCTGGAGCCCGTTGCTTCAACATTCGCGATAACGCCCGTGACCGCCCCCGCCCCCCCCCCCCTGGTCACGTCACGATTCGCGCCAGCGCCGTCGGGGAACGAGCCATTCCTGAAAATTCCTGGAAGGCGCTGGCGCGAATCGGAAGGTGACCGGCCCCCTCTCCCCCATCACCCCCCCAGGTCACGCCCGCTACAGTCGGGGCGCTGAAGAAGGAACCCTTTTCGTTGAGGAGGGGCTCGCTGTTCCTTGATTGCTTTACAGTTTGCCTCAGGTGTTCCTGAGGTTTTCCACGGGAAATCGAAGTTCAACTTCTGGGAAAAGGGGCCTCGTTCCTGATTTAGGGTTCCTTAGTTCAACACCCCGACGGTATTCTCAGGAGAGACAATAGTACCACTACCACCAGCTAGGAAGGTGGCCGCTCCCTCCCCTCGAGCTTGTGGCACCTCCTTCGGGGCACTCTCCGGAGGCATGCCTGGAACGAGGTGCCACCAGCTCGAGAGGGTGGGACAGCCACCCCCCTAGCTGGTGGCAGTGGTACTGTTTGTCCCGGGTGATATTCGGGATGGCAAAAACGTACCCCCAGGCCGACGTACCCTCTCGAGGGCCCTCGCCGAGAAGAAAACGCACACGTCCGAGCGATGCCAAGACAAAAAACCGGTCTCACACCGCGGATCTGCGCCCTGTGTAAGCCCGCGGCGTGGTGCGGCACGCCGGAGAGCACGAAGGCCACCGTGGCGCGGAACTCCAAGTTCTTGCCTGCCGGGCCGGCGCACTCGCGGCCAGCGCCGGGCTTGGGAGCTCCTCCCAGCGGAGGGCGCCAACTGCACATCAGCGCCCATCAAACGGGGACTCCACTAACGGGTACTTTGGCCAGTGACCCAGCGAACCCAACCCTTCCTGATGTGGGCAACGCTGCATTGCCAGAAAGAGGCCCGAAAGTGGAACCTTTCGGCAAAATTGCAAAGTACCCGTTAGCAAATACCCGTTACGGTGCCGTTGAGCACACCTGCACTGATCCTGGCCGGGCCCCCCTCTGGGCCCAGGATCGGTGCACAGTCGGACCTAGGGCAGAAGAGCATCCTTCAAAAATATGAGACCCTCCGCTGGCCAAACCAAAAGGCGAGCACTCGAGGGCACTCCACCTCCAGGATGCACAAGAACATCCAGCACACACGATGAACATGAGGGTAGCCTCCCCGACCCGACCTCGATCTTCTACCTCGGGTCGACCGTATGCAGCCTCCTGGCTTGACAGCGACAGCATATACACCAATCCAGGGCCCAGGACTGGCCTGGTCAGGATCGTTGCAGATGTGCAGTTGGCGCGCTCCGATCCCTGGACTTCTGACGGCTCAGCCCCAGCGCTTTTCCATCTCGGACAGAGGTCTCCCCGCCAGGGTGTCGGAAGTTTTCGGAAGTTGGTGGTCGCTTCTTGGAGGTGCTGTTTGCCTCGACATGCTTTCCAGCACCTGCGCCTCGACGACAGCGGCCCGGGGCTGCCCGAAAGTCCAGCGGACTGGGGTTTGTCAAGTATGGGTGTGTACTTCCACTTGCGGGTTCCAGCATGAAAGAAACATAGAACAACGCCATGAACATTCAACTTGTGGCGCTCCGCGCGGACTTCTTGGATCTACGCTGGACCCCCCTCACTGGCGCGCGGAGCGCGCAAGGGGCGGCGCCGGAGGCGCCGCCAGGGGGGCCCAGCGCAGCTCGTGGCGTCTCTTCTACGGCAGAAGCCCTGAACCTAGAGATGTTATGGGAAGGGCCAAACGTACCTCCACGACAACGTACCCCCAGGGAGGTGTCGCAGCGGCCACGGTTCCAGCCACGGTGGGACCCGAAACACCGTTGTTGGACGCCCCGAGGTGGGTCCTGAAGCCCTCTCCCCAAGGTGCGTCTGTTCTGGGGTACGTTTGGCCTCCCCTGAATGTTGGAGAGAGCGTGATCCACCGCCGCTTTACTGTGGAAAATTGCCGCCCTTTTCCTCCGGAGCCCGGCCCCCCCCCCCCCCCCCCCCCCCCCGAAAATCCCCCCCCCCCCCCTGCTGGAACCCCTCCTCCCCCCCCCCCTTCCCCCGGCCCCCCCCCCCCCTCCCCTAACCAAAACCGGAGGGAGGGGGGTCACTACCAGTTCGAACCACTGAGCTGTCCCACTGTTCCCACCACTGTCCCCACTATCCCTACCACTGTCCCCACTGTACCTCTGTCCTATTGTCCCACCGCCGTTCTCGCCACCGCCTTCACCACTGTCCCCACCACCACTGTACCCTCCACTGTCCTACTGTTTCCACATCCCCACTGTCCCCACACCACTGTCCCCACCACCACCGTCCCCACCACTGTCGCACTGTCCCCACTGTTCCCACCATTGTCCTCACCATTGTCCCCACCACTACCGTCCCCACCACTGTCCCACTATCCCCACCACTGTCCCGCTGTCCCCTCACCACTGTCCCCACCACCACCGTCCCCACCACTGTCCGCCCCCCCCCTCGGTTTTCGAGGGGGGGGGGGGTTCGAACCGGTAGTGACCCCTCCCGGTTTTCGAGCTCGAGGGGGGGGGGGAATTCGAACCGGTAGCGACCCCCCCCTTTTCATGATGAGCTGGGGGTGGGGGGGGGAGGTGTTCGAACCGGTAGTGACCCCCCCCCTGGCCGAAGCTTAACAGAGGGTAATCAGGGGGTCATGGCTGCATGTTGAGGCAAAAGTGATTATCGAGCCACTTTCCCGCCCGCACCCTCGATGATGATGGTGTACTCATGATGGTGATGAAGGTGATGATGGTGATGGCGGCGATGACGACGACGGTGGTGACGGCGATGGTGATGATGGTGACGGTGATGATGGTGATGGCGGTGACGATGACCGAGGCCCAAGTTTCAAGGGTGTTCTTTGGCCTCCTCAAAGAGCCGCAGAAATTCTCAAAACAGTTTATGGATTTACATGCCGACTTCTCTTTTGTGGACAATACAAAACTCCAACGCGCGCGACGTCGACGCCCGCGCCGCCGCCGTCTTCTGGGGCTATCTTGAGGGCGTTCTGCGCCATGCTGGAAACGCTTCTCGGGTCAACTGAGGTCACCCACTGCAGGCTTCGCGCATTGCGCTGGTCTTTCCACCTGCGGCCCAGGCCTGGGCAAATGCCCAGACCACTCATGGAGTAGGGAACCTCCGAGGCCCGATCTTCGAGGATGTCTTACGAAAGCGGCCTCAGAAATTTCAAATTCAGTTTCTGGAATTACATGTAGACTTTTCTATTGTCGGCAATAAAGAAGTCCGCACGCGCGCGCGGGTCACCCGAAATCCGCTCGGTCACCGTTAAGGGTTCACTTCAATTTCCAAGCCAACATGGCGATTTTCGATTGTTGACAATACAGAACTCCAACGCGCGCCTCCTTAAAGAGCCACAGAAATTTCAAATTCAGTTTTTGGAATTACATGTCGACTTCTCCATTGTGGACAACATAGAACTCCAACGCGCGCGCGCGGGTGACCATGGTCACCCGCGCGAGCGGGTGACCCGGCCACCGTCGGCCTCCTTAAAGAGCCACAGAAATTTCAATTCAGTTTTTGGAATTACATGCCGACTTATCCACTGTGGACAACACAGAACTTCAACGCGCGCGCGCGGGTGACCATGGTCACCCGCACGCACGGGTGACCCGCGCGCGCGGGTCACCCGAAATCCGCTCGGTCACCGTTAAGGGTCCACTTCAATTTCCAAGCCAACATGGCGGCTTTTCGATTGTTGACAATACAGAACTCCAACGCGCGCGCGGGTGACCATGGTCACCCGCACGTGCGGGTGACGCGGCCACCGTCGGCCTCCTTAAAGAGCCACAGAAATTTCAAATTCAGTTTTTGGAATTACATGTCGACTTATCCATTGTGGACAACATAGGACTCCAACGCGCGCGCGCGGGCGACCATGGTCACCCGCACGTGCGGGTGACCCAGCCACCGTCGGTCTCCTTAAGATCCACAGAAATTTCAAATTCAGTTTTTGGAATTACATGTCGACTCAGCCATTGTGGACAACACAGAACTCCAACGCGCGCGCGCGGGTGACCATGGTCACCCGAAATCCGCTCGGTCACCGTTAAGGGTTCACTTCAATTTCCAAGCCAACATGGCGGCTTTTCGATTGTGGACAATACAGAACTCCAACGCGCGCGCGGGTGACCATGGTCACCCGCGCGTGCGGGTGACGCGGCCACCGTCGCCCTCCTTAAAGCTGGCCGAAGCTTAACTCTCGGGCCACTTTCCCGCCCGCGCCCCCGATGATGATGATTGTAATCATGATGGTGATGATGGTGATGATGATGATGGCGGCGATGACGGTGATGGCGGTGACGGCGATGATGATGATGGCGATGGTGATGATGGTGATGGCGGCGACGATGACGACGGTGATGATGATGATGGCGATGATGATGACGGCGATGATGATCACACCCTTCTTCCACAGATCCGCATCGCGCAGTTGCTTCACTCAATCGAGGACGTTGTGGTTTCAGGCGTGTCCCCGACGATGTCGATGGGAGCGCTGACCACGCATGCATAAAAACTTAACTATTGCAGCTCGTGAGTTCGCAACCACGGCCACTGCCATTTACAAAATTGAGGACAAAGCTGAAGTCGGCGCATCCGTCGGCCTCGTTAAAGAGCCACAGAAATTTCGAAGTCAGTTGTTGGATTTACATGTCGACTTTTCTATTGTGGACAATACAGGACCCCTCAACGCGCGCGCGCGCGGGCGACCATGGTCACCCGCGCGCGGGGGTGACCCGGCCAACGCGCGGGTCACCCGAAATCCGCTCGGTCACTGTTAAGGGTTCATTTGCATTTCCAAGCCAACATTACGACTTTTATATTGTGGAGGGTACAGAAAGCAGCGCATCCGTCGGCCTCCTGGAGCCGCACCGCAGAAATTTTGAATTCATTTTTTGGATTTACACGTCGACTTTCCGATTGAACAATACACAACTCCTCAACGCGCGCGCGCGGATGACGATGGTCACCCGCGCGCGGGGGGTGACCCGGCCATCGCGCGGGTCACCCAACATCCGTTCGGTCATTGTTAAGGTTCATTTGGATTTCCAGGCCAACATGACGACTTTTTTTTTGCGGACAATACAGAAGTCGGCGCATCCGTCGGCCTCCTTATAGAGCCACAGAAAATTTGAAGTCAGTTTTTGGATTTACATGTCGACTTTTCTATTGTGGACAATACAAGACTCCTCAACGCGCGCGCGCGCGGGTGACCATGGTCAGCGCGGGGGTGGCCCGGCCACCGCGCGGGTCACCCTATTGTCCACAATAGAAAAGTCGTCATGTTGGCTTGGAAATCCAAATGAACCCTCAACAGTGACCGAATGGATTTCGGGTGACCCGCGTGGTGGCCGGGTCACCCCCGCGCGCGGGTGACCATGGTCACCCGCGCGCGCGGACGCGCGCGTGGAGGAGTCCTGTATTGTCCACAATAGAAAAGTCGACATGTAAATCCAACAACTGACTTCAAATTTTCTGTGGCTCTTTAGGGGGGCCGACGGATGCGCCGACTTCTGTTTTGTCCATAACATTCAGATTTCTGTTGCCTTTTATTATGGAGGCCGACACATTTGACAACATGGGCAAGCTATGGAAAGGCGCCCATGTTGGTGATGTCGAAGCGACCAATATAGGTTCCGGCGGGGAACCATACATTCCCGAAGGGAATCCATAGATTCCCGCAGGGAATCCCATAGATTCCCGCAGG